CATAAGAACTACAAATCATGTAAAACATAATAAGAATTAGATTGAGGATCTACACCACCAAGCGATCACTGCCATTGCTAGAACGAGTCGTTGACGTGTCGCTATCGCCGCTCTCCTACCAGAGCCGACTTGATCTTGTCGCTGATAGCCTGAAAGTCTCCATGCACGTGCTCGACCAGCGACCTAAAGTTCCAATAGTTGCCATTAAACGATTGAATCGATCTTGAGGGCTTGCACACCAATGCTCGTCGGCGTGCATGCACGGTGAGAAACCCTACCCGACACCCAAGGAGATGACAAGTGCCCCGTCAACCCCATTCTGATGAACTTAAACTCGAGGAGGACCAGAGCCTGAGTGACCAGTTCAAAAATGAAGTGATGTCATCCACCAGAAGCCACCCCGGCGAGAAAAAAAACTAACCTAAACTAATAGCTGGAGCCTAGGCAACAGAATCCCCCTTCCCACTACCTCCCGCCCAAGGTGGATCCACAGGCTCGCCAGCCATATTTGATGCTTCTTGTAAGTTGTTAACTTGCTTATTTACTTCATGCTGCTTGACCGTATTTGGGACAGCACTAGCATCTGCGAAGCAACATATATGATTAACCTATTTCTGGATCCATTGTCCCTTTCGATTCAGCCTTCCGCTGTTATTGATCGAAGGCTTGGTATCCACACCGATGCGACTACTAATTCAAAGGCATGCTCCAGCTCACCCTTGACCAGCAAAATTATCGTGTCTAAGAGAAACTTTCAATCTATTCATCAATCATAGCAGTACCGAGAACACTAGAGGTAATAAAAATTACAACCATGGACCATCTAGCAATGACTACAAGCACTGAGCGAGCCGAAGGCGCGCCGTCGTCATCACCCCTCCCTCACCGGAGCCGGACAAACCTTATTGTAATAGACAATCAGGAAGTCATTGTATTATGGCCCCAAAGGACCAGAATACTAAAGCAGCAACCATCGCCGATAAAGAGAGTTGTAGGTCGAAAAGATCAAACCTGTAACCACACAAACGAAGACGAAAAAAAACGAAAATGAAGAAAAACTGGATCCAAATAGATCCACCGAAGACCAGCGCCGACCGAATCCCGTGAGATCCGACGGAGATACACCTCCACACATCCTCCTCCGCCGATGCTATTCATACCATCAGGACGGGATAGGGCGTGGGAAACATTATTCTTATCAAGGGACATTGTCACCGTCACACAATCCCAACCAAGACATTGAACCTAACAAAAAAGAGAACGGGGTGCTCCCGCCAGCGCGGGGCCAAGATCCTCCACACCTCCATGGCCCAGAGGCCATCGGAAGTGGGCCGGATCGGCGGCGGGAGGTGACTTTTCTTCAGCAGGAGGAAGCACAACCTCTTGACTATGCCGATTCTTGTTTTACGTTTTTTGTGCTGTGTTCCAGCAAACTGGGCCATAGTTCGGAGCTTTACAGAAATCCAGTGGTTTCTCGCAAAGACTAGGCTGTATCATTAACATCATCTACTGGTTCTGTAGCAATATATACTGTATGGAAATAACTTTGAGGCTGGCAATTTAGGCCCCGTGCTGCCGATCTGATCGATGGCGGGACCAAATTCTGCCGAGGGCAGGGAGATCCCTGCTGAGATCATACGTGAGATTCTACTAAGGCTGCCCACTAGGGACGTCACGCGGTGTTCCTCCGTCTCATGGCAATGGTTCTTCGTCGTCAAAAACCCCACCTTCCGAAGGCTGCACGCCGCCAGCCATGCCGTCGCAACGGCGCCGTCGGAGGTCCTGCTCGTGTCGGAGCGTCAGGACAAGCACCGCTGCTTCGTCGAGGCCAGCATCTCCAACGTCTCGCTGCAAAAGTCCATGTGCCACCTCACCCTCCCGCCGGAGTACCGCCTCACCAACGTCTGCGGGGGCTACCTCTGCTTTGCGCCGGCGACGATGCGCATGGAGGTGTCGCCCGTGTTCGTTTGCAACCCCGTCACCGGCGAGACGCTGGCACTCCCCAGGCCGCCTATGCGCGGGTTGGACGATCTCGTCGCCTTGGGATTCAGCCCGTCCACCCAGGAGCTCAAGCTGTTCCGGTACACGGGCTCAAGGATGCCTGATAATAAATACCTGGACGTATACACCTTGGGTGAGTCCAACGGGTGGCGTCGACGCCCGTAGCTCTCCCAGCACAGCCCCGTGCACGGCACCCATCTGCCGGTGCTCGTCGATGGCGAGCTATATGTGTTGATTGACAGGAACGGTGGACACGGCAGACGGACTCACAGGATACTGGTAATTGACGTGGCGAGCGAGATGCACTGCACGTACCGGCTCCCACGCATTGATGCCAACGCGTCCGTGAACGCCTTCGAACTGCGTGGCCGGCGAATGGGAGCACGACCCCAAGGTTCAGTTCTGGGTCATGCCGCACCTAGATTGGCTCGACGGCGCCACCACCAATGACGACAACACCAAGCTAAACTGGGATCTGCTCTACAGCTTCGACCTTGATTCTGAAAAAGTTTCCCGTGGCCTTTGGAGCAATGCACCCAGGGGCGCTTGGCTTGAAGATGATGAGATCTTGTGCCACAGATTAGGCGACACATTGTACAAGTACGGCACATGCAGCCACTCTCTAATTGCCAACAAGGAGCCTATGCAATGGACTCAGAAACTCATACTCCCGTCTACTCCACAAAAGATCTGCCGTCGATGGGCAATTTATAGTGGCTACCGTCCCAATCTACTCTCGCCTCTCATCTTTCGACCGCCTCCGTCCGAAGAGGAGGAGAAAATCATACAATTTGAGAATGTCTTGTTAGAGACGATACGGACCCAGAAACATCTCTCCGCAGCCGATACCACCGACGAGCCAGCAGCCAAGAGGATTTGCAGCTGAATAGACACCACAGATGCTACCACATAGATATTTACTTCACCAATTTTTTTATTCCCAACCAACAACGGATGAAATTTTAGGTGATAGCAGGTGCTCCCAAGAAATTACAGAAAAATAATGAAAGATTGTGAAATTGAAATATTTTTCATCAGGAAGAAGCTCTTTCATCTACAAGTCTAAAAGATTTTGCATACGCACCAGATTTGGAATGTGACAATGATGGATCGAAAATCTATGGTGGCTGTCACTATCTGACTCTACTCCCCCTTGTGACCTTTGAGTCAACGTTGAGGACGAGATGACTAGACAAATTTGACAAGTATTTTAGTTGTCACCAAAATGATGAAAATACTTGTCATCAAAATGAATAAAATGGGATGCATCTAGATGTATTTTAGTTTTAAATACATCTTTTTTTGTTTATTTTAATGACAAGTATTTTCTGACGGAGGGAGTACCAAGCAAAGATAAACTTGTCCGGGCGTGAAAGCAACGCATGAGCTGCTGGCAGGTTAGGCATGATGTCGTCTGCCTCTCTGAAAGCAACGGATACGCGTGTGCCTAACCACCAGGACGGCGAAGGGGACATAGTAGATTAGAATGGATAACATCACGAATCTGACGATTGTGGAAACGGTATATCTTCTTGTTTGAGCTCGTGGTCGTGTGGTGCAGCACTCATGGAAGGAGCCATCTCCAGCTGGCCAAACACGAGGCATAGCCTATCTAATAAGCATTCTTAGCTCCTGACGCCGCCATGTAGGCTTGCCTTGAAGCAGTATTGCTCTGATCGGCGGCGCATGGTTGCTAGGATTGCCGTCGTTACCGGCGGGAACAAGGGGATCGGCTTCGAGGTGTGCCGGCAACTAGCTAGCCATGGAGGAGTCACGGTCATTCTGACGGCTCGGGACGAGACCAGGGGCACGGAGGCGGCCGAGAGGCTCAGAGCGCCGGGGCTCACCGACACCGACGTCGTCTTCCACCGGCTGGACATCACGGACGCTTCGAGCATCGCCACGCTAGCCGATTTCGTCAAGACCCGTTTCGGGAAGCTGGACATCCTGGCAAGTTTTCCATTTGCTTTCCTCATGCTAACGCTGTGTCACCGAAGGTCTGAAGCAACCATCTGTGCAATTTGCAGGTCAATAATGCCGGCGTTGGCGGGGTTGAGTACCCCCAAGAACTCGATACCAACGACGAAAAGGTGAGCTCAGGTGGCTTTGTTGTTCTGCAGTTGCTCGGAGTTATATGCATCCAGGCTGAACAAGTTCAACTTATCTGTGCATCAGTTCGCTGGCCTCGACTCCAATCAGAGACTTGAATGGATGGTGAAGAATGTCCGGGAGGCCATCGACGCCGCAAGGGGAGCAGTGGAGACAAACTACTACGGCACCAAGCATGTAACCCAGGCCCTGCTGCCTCTGCTGCTGCAATCTTCCTCCCAGGGAAGAATAGTGAATGTCCCCTCCGAATATGGACTGCTAAGGGTAACTTAATCATGTTCTTTCAAATCTCCATCGATCATGCTATTGCTACACCGGTACCGAATCCGGAACTTTGATCCATACATGCACCCAGGGAACTTTGACACCGCCATGTAGGGCTTGCCCCGTCCGAAGAGAATGTCTTGTTAGAGACACTACGACTCGATAAATCGAAAGGTCTCTCCGCAGCCGATATCACCGATGAGCCAACAGCCAAGAGGATTTGCAGCTGAATAGACACCACAGATGCTACCACATAGATATTTACTTCACCATTTTTTTTATTCCCAACCAACAACGGATGAAATTTTAGGTGATAGCAGGTGCTCCCAAGAAATTACAGAAAAATAATGAAAGATTGTGAAATTGAAATATTTTTCATTGGGAAGAAGCTCTTTCATCTACAAGTCTAAAAGATTTTGCATACGCGCCAGATTTGGAATGTGACAATGATGGCTCAAAAATCTATGGTGGCTGTCACTATCTGACTCTACTCCCACCTAAGCCACCTTGTCACCTTTGAGTCAACGTTGAGGACGAGATGATTAGACAAATTTGACCGTCTTCTATATATATTATATGGACACTATGCCCCCCATAAAATCAAAATGTCACTCGCTCCATAGCCAATATGGCCAATGACCCAATGTGCCAGCGGCCAAGAGGATCTGCTATTTTTCTTGAGATAGAAGAATCGGGGCTGGCTATTTTTCTTGAGATGTCAGATCTAGATGTTTGAGGCAAAGGCGTGTGGCTGTTAACAATAAAGATGCCAAAACTGTGGATGAGAAGTCCAATTTTTGTAGGTTTGAAGTCTATGATGACAAAATATTTTTAATGGGAAAAATAGAAGTATCAACTGATGCAAGACTCGTAAAGGTTTCACTGTACTCAGGCTTGAGAATGCATCCCCGTCTTCAGAGACTGATATGCACTTCAATTGTTATTTGGCCCAGGTGGCCTACCCAATGATTTTTATGTGCCATGTTTATATCTTCAAAATGTATCTCACAATTGTGGTGTCAAACATTTTATTTTGGATTGTATGGCAAGGTGGCTTACTCCCAAGTGTTTTATAAATTCTCAGTAAGTTGAGGGAAGTCTTATAATAAACTAACATAAATAAATGGGTATATAGATTTACCATTCTCTACTTCTGAATGAAAAATCAATAGCTTACTGTCTGTCCATCTCAAAATAGCGCCAGGTGAGACAATGTCACTGCCTACAAACCGAAAATAGAAACAGACCAGAATCATGTAAAATAGGTGATAAGCTTTCTTTGCCCTAACACAATGACCACCATGTACAACCAACATCCAATTCATAAAGCGAACTCTCACATAGTGTTTCAGAACAAGAATTACCTATAACAAGTCAAGAAATAAACACACACATGTTCCAGCCATATATACCAGTGAACGTCTCTTTTATCATTTCACATACTCTTTCACTGGAAAATTTTATTATATGAATTAATGAACACACCTTTTAAAAAAACATTCAAATAGTAGGGGGCAACAAAGCAGGACTATAAACAAGAAACAAACTAGGCAAAAAAAGAACAAACAAACATAAATCTAGGAAAATATATAGAAACTACTAATACACAAACATATCAGCGAAGCGCACCGTGCCGCCGCGCACGGGCATGGCTAGTCACATACAGACTGAGGAAAATTCTCGGTTCTATGGTAATGGATCTCAGTAACACCCAAAGCAGCAACAAATTAAGCAAGCACCAAATTTAGCAAGTTCATGCGCATCCGCATTACAAGATCTACTACAACAGAAATACAGTACATTAACTACATCAAACTGTCGCCAGTACAACACGTTACCTTCATCAGACGAGTTCTGAGAATCTGATCCTAGAATACTTCGACCCATGCCAAATTGGACAACCGCCTGTAGGGCTGCCACAACGGCCAACACTTCTGCTTCATCACCAGCAATGCCCGGACATCTTGATTTCACACAATTACCTCCCATCCTCCTCCTGACATTCTATCAGCATAAAAGAAGCCATATGTGTTAGCATTTAAATAACTGCTACTGCATTCTCAAAATATTGCTAACCAGATGATACCTGAAGAGATTGGATTTTTTCTCTTTTTTCCTCGATGTGCAAGTGGCACCATAACACCAGGGAGGAACCACCGCGCGGCGTCGTACTTTCCCGGAGAACCACCAACATGGCGTTGAAACAGCACCTTCCGCTCCTCCATGGAGTAGACGCCCCAGGTGACGTAGCAGCACTCGTAGACCTCAACCACAAAGTAGATGCAGTTGCTCATGCACCCTGGAGTCTCGGAGGCACGGACCGCAAACGATGATTCCCCACTCACGAAAAGCGCCCGGTCACCAGCAAGCCTCTCCACTTTCACCCATCGCGCCCCCTCGACATCTAGCCTATACACCTCATAGCCACCGAAGGAATTGGAGTATGTGGGTTCTTGTGTTGCGAGCACCCGAACGACAAACATGACTTCCCCTTCCGACTCGAGCAGGTGGAAGTTCCGGATGAAGCGGTCTCCGAGCTGCTCGCGAATGCTCGGCACACTGAGCCTTGTCAGGCGCCACGGCATCGGCGCACGAGTGTCAATGGTGTACGTTGAGCCGAAAATTTGCATGGCATAGAAGACGCCGTCGCTGTAGGCCACTAGATCAATGTCGTCGGCACATTTGAGGTCTTCAGGCAGGAGCAGCTTCCGCTCGGACCACTCCCCCTCCGTGCACCACCAGAGAGAGAAGTTCCTCCCGAAACTCTGGCCAATGAAGAAGGCCTCGGCGCCGCTGCAAAACTACGTAGTGGAGAACATTCTCACTCAGATCGGAACCATCTATATTAGCAAGTACAGTAGTAGTAACTGCTACTGCAATCAAAATAAATCGATCCTCCTCATAGCAAGTATCTTTTCACTCACCATAGGTTCAGTCGGATACATGATCCGATGGGCGTACGTCTGAATGCCCCGGACCGCGCCGGTGGCGGGATTGACGAGGACGAGGCTGCTCTTGTACGCAAAGGAGATTCTGCCGCTGGGCAGGACGCCACATAGCTCAAAATGTTTCGCGTCGCTGACAGTGCTCGGCAGCCGGGCCGGGACCACCGGCGCGGGCGAGTCCTCCCCGCCGTCATCGATCGGAATGGAGAAGATCGCCCCGCGGAGGCCCTCGTCGAGGACCTCGAGCGCGAACAGGTGCGGGGTGGGTCTCGCTAGCCGCTCGGAGATGATCTCCGCCCAGGACCTGCAGACGGCGGCGAACCGCACCGACTCGAGCGGGCTGATGCAGCCGAGGATCTTCTCCGTGAGGTGGAACGGGAGGCTGCCGATAGTTCCGCTCGCCGCATCTCCGTCGTCGGCAGATTCGCGGATCTTGCCTGTTAGGGTGGCCGTGGGTTTGATAGGCTCCATATGGTAGAGGGAGAGGAAAGGAATGTGAGAGCGCGTAGGCGGCCGGAGCTGGGAGCGGCCGGCGGCGGCGCTGGCCGGAGCGAGAGAAGTGAGAGGGGATCGGATCGGATCGGTCGGTGAGGAGAAGAGCGAATGGGGCTGGGAGCTTTGTGGACGCAGCTGCTGGGCCGGTTCCTCACTTTGGAGACGGGCTCTCTATCTATCGGCAGCACGTCCAAGGGTATTTTCCAAAAATCGGAAATGCCATTCTAAGGTTTAGAAAAAAAATGGAATGTTTTTCTGCAAAGACATATATAAATGCTATATACGAAAAAAGAAAGACAAATTTTTGGCACAAACACAATCTCATTTTGATGGAGGACGTTGACCGGGTGGAAGAGGAACAGGAGTGCCGCCGGTAGCGAGGCGGCACGTGGGCGATCGGGCAAGGCACGCGCGGTGAAGACAAGGAGGAGGAGGCGGTGAGGTGGATGCGTGGCTAGGGTTGGCGGTCAGCCTCACGCGCATCCTTTTACAACACACGCGGGGGAGACAAAAGGTGAACAGGCTAGGAATAAGCCGAGTACATTATCACCTACTCGTCTTACATTTAGTATTTAAAATGGCAATATATAAGCTCAATATAGGTATATAAAGGACACTAGGCATATAACGGCCGCCATCACTGAGTCGTAGGTCATACGTGGGAAGAATGGCAATATGGCAGTTGTTTATGTCGAGCCTTATGCAGTTGTCGTGTGTGTTTTCGCGGGTCTCGTCTTACAATGGACTAAACCGAGTACCCGAGATAAATTACATTTGGTGTAGGCCAAAACACTAAGAAATTTGTTTTTTTTTTCATAGTGTTGGTTGCATTGCTGTAGATTAGGCTATTCCACTTCGCCTCTCTCCCACTAATTGCATGAAAAAGACTCCTTAGGCGACTAAGACATTTGGAATGGTGTCGTGGCCAACAAGGCAAGACTAATATCATATAGCATGTGTTGTTTTTGTCCCACGAAGCAACAACTCTAGATCATACAGTTTGTTATCCAGTGCTTCACACTACTAGAGAAAACCCTAGTAGTAACGCTTGTAATGTACATATCAGTAGCGCTGGTACCAGCGCTACTGTTATCGCGCTACAGCTAACATGTAACAGTAGCGTTGTCTGACCAGCGCTACTGCTATACCTAGTTAGCAGTAGCGCGGGTGCTTGAAAAGCGCTGCTGATAGTAGTAAGTAGCAGTAGCATTTCTTTTGAAAAGCGCTACTGCTTATTTTTCCTGTATTTTTTAAATTATAGCTTATTTTTGCTGTATTTGTATAGGTTTTATATACGGTATTTTCATCATATGATTTTATCACCATGATTAGTTAGTATATACAGCAGTGGGTGAAATAAATGTTGATTGGGTTCAAGTGAAGGTAACATGTGGTGCCTGTCAAAAGTATAACATGTGGTGCATGTCAAAAGTATACTACTACTTATACTTTCGACATGCACCACATGTTGCCTGCACTTGAACCTAATCAACATTCATTTCACCCACTGTTGTACATACTAAAACTGATTCTAACTAGCTAATCACTTATGCTGCTCTCTCAGGTAAAATAGCATAGAACATGTATAACACTCCCGCTTCATCATATTGGAGAATGCAGATGAATCTGTCTCATAATTGTGGGCTGCGCTTTTGATTGCTGCCCCCTAGTACTTCTCTGCGATCATTCACAATTTTGTTCCAGTTGTTGACTATTAAGACTTGCTCTCTTTAGAAATCTTGAATGCGCTGATGTGCATTGTAGGATGTCTTGGCCGTATGCTAACCATGGAGATGAGACATTTATCCTCGATCCACTGAGGCACAACTATCACCGGGAGTACTTGTTGAAGAACATCGTAGTAACATACTTAACAATGAAGTTTAGCTTAAAAAATAATGTATGCAAAAGATGCACAGGAGAAAAATAGTAAAAATCTTACCATCTTTCCTAAATAGATGTGACCGTAGTTCAGTACGAATACTATTGGTCGCACGTTTTCAGTACTAAGATTTTCAAATCCAGAAAAATAATTTGTCTTCACAATATGAAGATCCTCAAGCCATGAAACATAATGACTTATCTCCTCGCAGTTTAGTTCAACCCCGGGACAGTAGTAGGTCATATCTACCAAGCGCCTGACAGATTTTCTTGAATGAAAATAAGCTGTCAATAGAAATTAGTTGTCAACTATTTTTAAATAAACAGTATCCAAGACATAAATATGGTTGAGAAACTCACATAATGGTAGAACTGGAGGCGTGTGCACATCGACTAGATGTCTATATTACCTTCAATTTTATCTTTCGGACGAATATCAAAGGTGATAGCCATATTAGGCTCAAATGCATAAGCCTTGCATAGTGCTGTCAATAGAAATTAAGCTGTCAATAGAAATTAGGCTCAAATGCATATTAGGTTTTCTTGAATGAAAATAAGCTGTCAATAGAAATTAGTTGTCAACTATTTTTAAATAAACAGTATCCAAGACATAAATATGGTTGAGAAACTCACATAATGGTAGAATTGGAGGCGTGTGCACATCGACTAGATGTCTATATTACCTTCAATTTTATCTTTCGGACGAATATCAAAGGTGATAACCATATTAGGCTCAAATGCATAAGCCTTGCATAGTGCTTTCCAATTTTTGCATTCAAAATAGGAGTAGGTGTTTGTATTTGTATAATTTTACGGCAAAAGTATAACCATGCTCGGTCCTTAAGTGAACTTACTTTACCTCCATACTTTCCATAGTACTAAAACCAATCTTATCCAAGACATAGATTCTTGCATGACAGGGGATACACTAGTAGAATTATAAAAAAATTAAAATGATAAGTTGAAGCAAGAAAAGCAGAAGTAGCAGAAGGCATGCTTAATTACAAAAAAGATTTTATCGTTGTGACTTACTGTATCGACTTCAAAGTTCTCATCCAGCACGATGCTGAAGTGCCTACCACCAACTAGGTGAGGCATGTTGCACATGCGCTCCTCTTCACAATATTCACACATACCAAATTTCCTTTCGTCGTCAGACATTTCCTATATATGTTCATATTTGAAACATTGAAAATCAGTCGAAGGCAACTACTCGGGTGTAGAGGAAGTAGAGGTTCATAATTCAAAGATTAAACTCGTACAATTCAATATATGTACTATAAAAACTAAATGAGATCATTATTATTCAGCACGGGTTGACTATCGGTCCCTCAAGTCTTTTTCTGAAAAATCTCAGCTCACGTGGTGTATATATTCGACCGTTGGTGATGGTCGCTCCTCCCTTCATCCCCGAGTGCATTCAACCAAAATGTCCAGCACACGGGAATGAAGGAGAAGCGACCCCCACAACAACAGTCGGCATTATTCTTCTCTCACATATGGTGGACACACTCCCTCACTCATTTTTTGATTGTCAAGTATGGGGCCTCGGCAGACTTAAAGTCAACCTGATATGTCGTTTAATTACCTTTCTAGAAAATCCAGGCCACTCAATATTTCCTACATATTCTAGCACAAGTCATGTCAGAATTCATGAAAAAATCTGGCATGACCTTTGCTAAAAAAGGACATATTGAGCGTCTGAAATTTGCCGTAACAGAAATTAATCAACACTCCGCAAAACATAGGCCACTCGGAGGTGTAACCTGCAAACATGACCGGCCACTTGGGCATTCAAAGTAGGAGTAGTTTTTCAGTTTGACCATTCAATAAGCAAACCAAATCATAAAATAAATAAGTATTCAAATTAGCATGCATTCAGTAAGCAAAACTAAACCATCTCTTTCGTCCATACATCACGAATATTATCACTAATACATCTCGAATAGTATCATACATATAACATCACTAATATAGCTAAAACTCTAGCGAACGATGGGTATCGACGCGGGCGGTGGACACCCAAAGAGAAGGAATCATCACATGATCATAGCTCCAGTGAGATCCCTGAAGAACCTGCCAGGTATTGGAGAACCTTCCCTCCAACGCAACCATGTAGCGATGGACATGCTCGTCCTCCTCGCTGACACGGTGACATACCACCTCCACAGGGTCCTCAAGCCTCCGCACCGTCACTGGCCCACACCACCGCCACTAAAGAAGGCTCGAGTCAACGACGGGCTGGCTCCTCACCAAGCTGTGCCGCTCGGAAGGTAGCACCTCCCAGTACCAGCCCGGCGGAGCCCCAGTCCCGGACATGTCCCCTCTGATCAAGCAGGTGTCCTCCGCCGAGTCGACGACGAGGATGCGCGATAGGCATCGTCGACGTTGATGCGGGAATAAATGCTTTAACTAAAAAAATAACAACAAATTTGACATGTTGAACATGGTTCGATCATAACTAGGGTTCATAATACACTATTCTAAGATTAAACACCTAAAATACCTAAATTATATTAAGTACACCTAATTAAAAAACTATATTTTGAACATGGTTCGATCATAACTAGCTAGGGTCCATACTACATTATTCTAAAATTAAACACCTAAGATCATAACCTACTACATTATTCTAAGATCTAACCTAAAATTTTCAATTAGCTAGGGTTCAAAATTAACTAGGGAGGAGGAGGGAGGAGGGAGGAGGAGTAC